CTACCAGAATGGCCAAAATGAGAAAAACCCAACAATATCAAAGGTTGGCAAGGATGTATGAACTCTCACACATTACTGGTGGGCATATAAATTGATTCAACCACACTGGAAAACCATTTGATAGTTATCTACTAAGGCTAAATGTATGCTTACCTTAGACCCAGCAATTCCACTCCTAGGTATCCACCACCACAGACGACACAGTCTTGAAGAACTTACTGATGAAGATCAAACACTACAGCCTTCAGTATAGATTACATCTGCCTGTGAATAAAATGAAAATACTCACAACTGGACTGATAAACAACATCATGATAAATTGAAGTTGTCAACAATTTCATTCTATTTGGATCAACAATTAATGTCCATGGAAGCAGCAGTCAAGAAATCAGACGACATACTGCATTGGGCAAGCCTGCTGCAAAAGACTTCTTCAAAGATTTAAAAATCAAAAATATCACTTCGATGACTAAGGTTCTCCTGACCCAAGCCACGGTCTTTTTAATCTTTTCACATGCATGCAAAAGCTGGACAATAAAAGAAGAATCAATACATTCAAACTGTGGTGTTGGTGAGGAATAGTGACTATACTGTAGACTGGAGAAGAATGAACAAATCAGTCTTACAAGAAATATAACCAGAATGCTCCCTAGAAGTGAAGATGGAGAGATTCGGCTCTCTTCCTTTGGATATGTCCTCAGGAAAGACCAATCACTAGAAAAGAACGTCATGGTTGGTAAAAAAAAGATCGTCAGTGAAAACAAGGGAAACCCTCAATGAGATGGACTGACACAATAGCCACAACTATGGACTAAAACATACCAATAATCATGCAGATGCCACAGGTCTGGACAACATTTCGTTCTCTTAAACATAAGGTCACCTTAAGTTGAGGACAACTTGATGACAACTAACAACAGGGAATATGTTATTAGAATATACACACACCAATATACATTTATATGTATTTCCATATCTGTGTGTGTGTGTGTGTGTGTGTGTGTATACATATATGTTGTTGTTAGGTACCGTCGAGTCGGTTCCGGCTCATAGAGACCCTAGGTACACTAGAAGGAAACACTGCCTGGTCCTGCGTCATCCTCACAATCTTTGCTATGCTTCAGCCCATCATTGCAGCCAGTGTGTCAATCCATCTCGCTGAGGGTCTTCCTCTCTTTCACTGATCCTCTCCTTTACCAAGGATGATGTCCTTCTCCCAGGGACTGGTCCCTCCTGATAACTTGTCCAAAGTACGTGAGATAAAGTCTCGCCATCCTTTCTTCTAAGGAGCATTCTGGCTGTACTTCTTCCAAGACAGATTTGTTTGTTCTTCTGGCAGTCCATGGTATATTCAATATTCTTCACCAATACCATAATTCAAATGCATCAATTCTTCTTTGGTCTGCCTTATTCATTGTCTAGCTTTCCCATGCATATGAGGCAATTGAAAATACCATGGCCTGGGTCAGGCGCAGCTTAGTTCTCAAAGTGACGTCTTTGCTTTTGAAAACTTTAAGAGGTCTTTTGCAGCAGCTTTGTCCAGTGTAATGCGTCGTTCGATTTCTTGACTGCTACTTCCATGGGTATTGACTGTCGATCCGAGTAAAATGAAATTCTTGACAACTTCAATCTTTTCTCCGTTTATCAGGATGTTGCTTATTGGTCCAGTTGTGAGGATTTTTGTTTTTTTTATGTTGAGGTGTAATCCATACCAAAAGCTGTAGTCTTTGATCTTCATCAGTAAGTGCTTCAAGTCCTCTTCACTTTCAGCAAGCAAGGTTGTGTCATCTGCATATCAAAGGTTGTTAATGAGTCTTCCTCTAATCCTGATGCTGCGTTCTTCATATAGTCCAGTTTCTCAGATTTTTGCTCAGCACACAGACTGAGTAAGTATGGTGAAAGAATACAACCCTGATGCACACCTTTCCTGATTTTAAACCACACAGTATCCACTTGTTCTGTTCAAATGACTGCCTCTTGGTCCGTGTACAGATTCCTCACGAGCACAATTAAGTGTTCTGGAATGCCCATTCTTCACAATGTTATCCGTAATTTACTATGATCCACACAGTTGAATGCTTTTGCATAGTTAATAAAACACAAGTAAACATCTTTCTGGTATTCTCTGCTTTCAGCCAGGATCGATCTGACATCAATAATGATCTTCCTCATTTCACGTCCTCTTATGAATCTGGCTTGAATTTCTGGCAGTTCCCCGTCGATGTACTGCTGCAACTGTTTTTGAATTATCTCCAGCAAAATTTTACTTGTGTGTGATATTAATGATATTGTTTGATAATTTCTGCATTCTGTTAGATCACCTTTCTTTGGAATGGACACTAATATGGATCTCTTCTAGTCGGTTGGCTAGGTAGCTGTCTTCCAAATTTCTTGGCATAGACTAACAAATACCTCTACTGTTGCATCTATTTGTTGAACCATCTCAATTGGTATTCCATCAATTCCTGGAGCCTTGTTTTTCACTAATGCCTTCAGTGAAGCTTGGACTTCTTCCTTCAGCACCACTGGTTCTTGATTATATACTACCTTCTGAAAACGGTTAAACGTCACCCAATTCTTTTTGGTACAGTGATTCTGTGTATTCTTTTCATCTACTTGTGAAGTGTCCTGCATTGTTCAATATTTTGCCCATAGAATCCTTCAATATTGCAATTCAAGGCTTGAACTTTTTCTTCAGTTCTTTCATCTTGAGAAACACTGAGAGTGTTCTTCCCTTTTGGTTTTCTATCACTGAGGCCGTGTGTGTGTGTGTGTGTGTGTGTGTGTGTGTATGAGAGAGAGAGAGAGAGAGTGCATACAAGAAATGTTGCCCTGTGACATCTTCATGATCACTGGTATGTTTTAGTCCATAGTTGTGGCTATTGTGTCAATCCATCTCATAGAGGGTTTCCCTTGTTTTCACTGACCCTCTATTTACCAGTCATAACATACTGTATATATATACATATATATATATATGTATGTATGTATACATACACAGGTATATCCATGAGTTCATACAAAGGCCTCCAATTCTAACCCAATACCACAAAGTCTATATTTTCCCTTTCCTTATTTGTAAATACAATATTTTCCTCCAATGTGAGAAACCTAGCTCCCAATACTCTTAAAATACTTATTTTTGATAAATTTTCCTGCATGTAATAATCTTCTACCACACCTTCTGTCATGGATTGAATTATGTCCCCCAAAAAATGTGTGTATCAATTTGGCCAGGCCATGATTCCTGGTATTGTGTGGTTTTCCTATATGTTGTAAATCCTGCCTCTATGATGTTAATGAGGGAGGATGGGCAGCAGTTGTGTTAGTAAGGCAGGACTCAGTCTACAAGATTGGCTTGTATCCTGAGGCAATGTCTTGAGATATAAAAGACAGAAGTGAGCAGAGAGACAGGGGGACCTCCTACTACAAGAAAGCAGAGCCGGGAGCAGAGTGCATCCTGTGGACCCAGGGTCCCTTTGCTGAGAAGCTCCTAGACCAGGGGAAGACTGATGACAAGAACCTTCCCCCAGAGCCAACAGAGGGATAAAGACTTCCTCTGGAGCTGGCACCCTGAATTCAGACTTCTAGTCTCCTAGACTGTGAGAGAATAAACGTCTCTTTGTTAAAACCATCCACTTGTGGTATTTCTGTTATACTAGCACTAGATTACTAACATGGGGGGAAAAGTTAAGGACTATTTGGCTGTAGATTTTCTCCTTTTCCCCAGCCTTCTTGGTAGTCTTCAGTGAAGGAACAGGCTCTTTTTAATGTGGGTAAAATAAATAAATAAATAAAAATTGTTGTACTATAATTAGTTCACAAAATGGATAGTCAGCTTTGTGCCATGTTCTGATTTTGTTCTGGAGAGCTGTTTTGGGAAATATTCTCCAAACTGTCCTTTACATTAAGAAAAATGGAGGCAGACTGGAATCCAGAGGATAATAAGACTGGATGTTCATTTTACCAATTTTTAAAAATTATATGAAACTATCTCCTCTCAATGATAATACTGTGTCATAAACTGGAAGAATTTGGTCAAATCAACTTTATGCACTTTAAGTAAAAATAGAAAAGCTAAAATTTCCATAGGTGAGTAAACAGATGGGGCTTGAAAAGTCCACCAAACCTATTGCTACTCCTGCACGAGTTTGCCTTTTATTTCTTTGCTTGTACTTGCCAGACAGTGCAATCCTAAGCAAAAGTGACGACCAAGTTGTCCTGGACATAGTTGGGCCAGGAGAACCCTCAACAATAGCTGATCATATGTCTATCTTTTCTTCCTTTTCCCTTCCTCTGGGGGCTAGAAAGTTACTTTTAGGTGGGAGTAAATAAGTGCTAAAAGTTTATTAATATGAAACATTGTAGGTAAGTCTATATCGTATCCAGGTCTATTCTGGATCTCATCAAATAATTAGAATCAAATAGAAGGGCTTCTCCCTCCTCACAGAATCCAATACACTCTTTCTCTTAAATACTCACCTAGGATGAGCCCTTCCGAACTGTCTTTACCATCACCATCTTGCAAGCTGGAAGATTGTGTGTGGGTCCCAAGGCACAGTCTTTCAGATTCATCTAAATTCTATTCTGTGCTTCTCAATGTGTGCACTGTGAGGTTGGGGCCCTTCTCAGTTTCATGAGGATGTCATTTTCTCCTCTAATATTTGTTCATTTTGGTAAGCATTAGGGTGGAAGTATTTGTAAACATGGCTTTTCTTTCTCTAGTCTTTTTCACATGTTTTAAAGCCAGAAGAGAGTGAAGATTATAGCCAGAACATGTTTGCTGGCTGTAGCAGAATCTGTAAATCAGAGTCTGCTGAGTGTGATCTGAAAGAATTAACAGCTCTCAAAAGAGAAAACTCTCTCCACAACAATCAAGTTTTTACTCAAAATTTTATAAATATCTTTTTATTAAAAGTTTCTTTTTTCTGATTATTAAAGTAATACATGTTCTTTTTAGAAAACTTGGAAAATACATAAATGTATAAAAAAGAAAATAAATATTATCCATAATTCCACACCAACAAGAGTTAATCACTCTGTAAGTTTTACTCTTTAAACATTAAACCTTAGCTCACAAAAAAGTCTACAACCTAGTCAACGATGCAGACTGCCTTCTTTCAAAGCATTCAAGTCTATTCCCACAGAATAAAGCATACAAAAATCATACTCATACAGAAGTCTTTACAAAGTAGTTTCCTACAAAATTTCCATTTTCCAAATTCCTATGAGTCACAGACTCTAATACAGACTACCAAGTATTTATTAAGATAATAATAGAACAAAGAAGAGAAGAAAGGGCAAGGGGCTATCTCCAGATTCCCCCTCGACTCCTCACACTACTAGGGGCAGGGTGTCCACTTTTCTTCCGTCCTGGAGGTTTTTCAGTCTTAGGGACTGTAGGAAGTCGGCGAGGGACAGCCTGGGAGGGAATCTGAGAGTTGGGGAAAAAGAGAAGAAAAAGTCAGTGTCATTTCAACCCCTAACTCTAGTGAGGAAACGCATAATGCATGCAGAGAGCCAGAATCAATCAACAAACGGGAAAGAACATGTTACAGAACATGGGAACAAGAATTGGAGGTCAGGCAATAGGGAAACAAAGCCAGGCAGGGAGTGTGTAGAGTTGAAGGAATGGTGAGAACCCTTTTATTCCCGTAGTCCCGCCCACCGTTCCCTCACCTCTTTCCGGGGGATCTCACCCAAGCGGGAGTCTGTATTCCTTCGGGGGACATTATCCACTTGGCCATCAGCCCTGCCACACAAATCAAGGGTATGAGGATGAGGGAGCTATCTCCCCCACTCTACTTAGCTCTGGATAGAAGAACTACTCCCCAGTTCTGTCTCTTAATAATAAGAGCAAACAACAAAGACCTGGGGGTGAAATGGGAGGAGACATAAGTAGAATAAAATAATGAGTTGTTCTATATAGTTAAAATCCTAGGATTCTGAGTTCTGAGTTACAGGATAAAGAGAGGAAAAAACTAAGGTAGGAGATTTTTTTTTTCTTAAAAGAAGTAAAGAAAAAAGCAGTAGAAAGACAGTAGCACTATTCACAATAGCCAAATGGTGGGAACAACCCAAATGTCTATCAGTGATAAACAAAATGTGGTATATCCATACAATGGAATATTATCTAGCCATAAAAAGGAATGAAGTTCTGCATTTTGATCAAAGATTCTATAGAAGAATCCTAATCAAAAGGTGGAAAATGTAGAACAGAATCTCAAAGTGTCATGCACTCCAGGCTTTCTGGAGCCACGGAGGCTGGATGAACCCCTAAAACTATTGCCCTGAGATCATCTTTAAACCTTAAACCAAAAATATCCCCTGAAGTCTTCTTAAAACCAAACAATAGTTTAGTTTAACAAAGAATGTCTGCCTTGAGCATTGTGCTCCTCGAGATCTATCAATATGGGATCAAACTGACAACAACAACTCAAAAGATTAGGTAGGAAACTTAGGGGGCAGAGAGTTTACGTTAATGGAGGAAGAACAACTCAGAAAAGGAGGGTGAGAATGGTTGCACAACTAGAAGAATATAATTAATGTCACTGAATTGTACATGTAGAAACTGTTGAATTGGTGTATGTTTTGCTGTGTATATTCTCAACAACTACAACAAATAAATAAAAATCTAAAAAAAGGAATGAAGCTCTGATACATGCTACAACATGGATGAACCCTGAAAACACTATGCTAAGTGAAAGAAGTCAGACATAAAAGGTCAAATATTGTATGATTCCATTTATAGGAAATATCCAGAATAGGCAAATCCATAGAAACAGAAAGCACATAAGTGGCTAATACTGGCTTGGGGGAGAGGGGACTGGGGAATAACTATTTAATGAGGTTTTATTTTGGGGTGATGAAAATGTTTTGGAACTAGATAGAGGTGGCGGTTATACAACATTGTGAATGTACTAAATGCCACTGAATTGTGTTTTAAAATGATTAATTTTATGTTATGTGAATTATACCTCAATTTAAAAAAAAAGCAGTAAAAAGGAAAAAGGTGGGGAGCAGTGAGAGATGTAGGAAGAGGAGACTTGTTGATCTGTATCTCACTCCTCACTTTCCTCTCTATAAAAGGACAAGAGTATCGACCCAGTGAATAATACAGCACACTCCCACTCTTCCCTGCCTGATCCGTTTCTCTCCCCGTAATACAGATTCCATTTTCCTAACCCTTCCTCCTCCCTCCCTGGCGTGTACCTGCTGTGTTCCAGCCTCTTCAGGTAGAGCAGCAGATCCGCGGCAGACAGCGTCCCCCACCCCCGAGCTTGGTAGAGTCGCAACAGTTGAGACAGCTCTATCAGCTGCCTGGGGGATGGCAGCCCATCTCCACCTGAGAGGCATATAAATAATGGTCATCATCCTAGTGCTGCATCTCCCTAGGAATCTGGAAGGGCCTGAGGTTCCAGATAGTCATTCCACACCCAGTAAATCATGAGCTCCTTACCTCTCTCTGGAGAGCCACTGCTGGGACCACTGCCCTGTGAATGGGTTGAAGGAAGCTCAGGTACCCGGAAGAGACTGGACGCCATGGCTAACGGAACTTTAGTTTTATGGACAGGGGGTGGAAGGCGTGGCACCTGAGGGGCTTCCTCCCAAGATGGGACAGACAGAGGACCTAGCAAAAGGAAACAGATTCAAGAATGAGGCACTGGGGCAACAGAGCCAAGTAAGCCCTACCTCCTTCTGAAAATTCATCTAGATAACCAGTTCCCATCTTTTCCAGGCCACAATCCCAACCTTCTTCAGAGTCAGGACTCACCAGACTTAGGGGGCAACAGGTCAACAGAGGGGTTCTCATTGTTCTGGGGTACTGTCTCCAGCAGCTGGGGAGACAAGATAGTAAGCTTCCCTAGAAGACTGGTAAAGAAAGAGACCTACGTATCTAAGGGAAGTAGAGGCTGGTGAAGTAAGAGCTAGGGTTGTTCTCCTAGGTTCTAGAGGGGAATTCTGGAATAAGAATTCTGGAATTCTGAATAAGATAGACTGGGAGAGTAAGAAGCTGGAACAAAGTATAAGTACTAGAAAAGGGAATGAAGCCACAGTCCTAGAGTCCTAGAGTAGAAAGAAGAAACAAGGAAGGGGAAAAAAAAAAAAAGGTGGTCTCGGTGGACCCTCCCTTACCTGGTGTAAAAAATGCTTGAGGCCATCCAACTGAGAAGAGGGTAGCAGTCCTTGCTTTAGGAAGCCATCCCTATCAGTTCCAGGATCTTCTTCAAGGAATGGCCGTTCTGCCCTGTGATCATGATCAAAGGCCCCAACTGCAGAGGAAAGGGCCCCAGCTATAAGGGGTGTGTGTGTGCATGTGTGTATACACGTGCACGTGCACATGTGTGTTGTGGAGAAGGAGGTTCTTCCACAGATTAACTCACCAGATGCCCAGAAAAACGGGGCCCGTTAAATGTAAGAGGGACATCACAGCTAGGAGAAGGAAACAGTGAAATTTTAAAAGAGCTGGGGAGGGAAGAGTTGAAGGACACTAGGAGGTGGCATAGCTAAATTCTAAGACAGGAGTGTAGACAGAAGGAGAAACTATGGTAATCAGACTCTAAATAAATAAATATACCATAAACTCCTTAAAGAACAGAAACCAATATTCAGAATATTTTAGGATTAATAGATATGTTTTGGCCCCTTCATTAGAACATGCTTTCATTCTTTTTAAACATTATTACATAATTAAAAAATTTTAAACTGTGATATAATTCACCTCTCTTTCTTGATCCAACCTAGATGGTCACATTTGTGCCACAGAGAACACCCCTCACCCACCCATGCCAGAGCTGACTAAACCAGGAGAGGATACCATACCTAAGGTCAGCCAATCCAGTGGATGGTTACCCACCCATCTGACTGCCTCTCTTCAAACTGGATCTAAGAAACGCAGACACCAATGTCTCAACAAGGTTTCATAGAGTCTTGGATGTCTCAACAAGGTTTCATAGAGTCTTGGATGGAGTCAGTGTCATGGATGGCCAAACAAACGTAGAGAAAGTGAGCAAAAAACTTCAATGAGCAGAGAATGCTGGTCTACCAAGAGAAAGGCACAATATGCAGGGACAGGCAGAGTCAAAAAAACCACACAGGCCCAAAGAGAGATAGCCCCTCATTACCAACTTCAGTTCTCATTAAGTCCAGATCCATGAGAACTCACTCTCTTTATTTGAACTAACTTTAGTGGGTAACTCCTCCTTGCAATTTATGATCACTAAGATATCTGGGAAACTAAATGCTCAAGTTCCAGACAGAAAGGAAGCTAGGTAAGAGGGAGCCAATTAGTGGAAGTAAAGTGAATCCCAATGACTTCTGTCCTCAGTTACCTGTGGATGGAGTAAGATCTGGCTTTGGTTCCAGGGGCTGGAAGGAATGCTGACTTTGGAAACTGGGACCCAGCAGGAGGCTAAGATCTGGGGAAGGACTGCCGAGAACAGGAGGCACTGTAGGTAGCTCATCCCTTGTTTCCCGGCTCTGCTGCAATACAGGCTTCAGGGCCACAGCCACAGGAGGCATAGTCCAGATCCTCCCCTCCTCCTTCTCTGGTTCCTGAGGCCCAGGGCTGGAGGGACTAGTGATAGGGACCTACGCAGAAGAAAGAGGCAGAAAGAAGGACCAAAGTCAGTGGGGCCTGATATCAAAGCCAGATAAAGACAACATGAGAAAAGAAAACTAGACCAATCTCTCTTATAAATATATATGTAAAAATCCTCAACAAATACTAGCAAACCGAACCAGCAGAATATTAAAAAAAAATTATACCCAAGTGGGATTTATTCCAGAAATGCAACGGTAGTTCAACATAAGAAAATCAATCAATGTAATACACCAGATTAATAAAACAAAGGAAAAAAAACACACTATCACCTCAATTGACGGAGAAAAGACATTAAACAAAATCCAACACCCTCTCCTGATAAAAACACTCAATAAACTAGGAACAGAATGGAAATTTCTCAATATGATAAGGGCATATACGAAAAACCCACAGTTAACATCACACTCAATGGTGAAAGACTGAAAGCTTTCCCCCTAAGATCACGAACAAGACCAGCAGGCCTGTTTTCACCACTGCTGTTCAATTTTGCACTGGAGGTTCTAGCTAGAGCAATTAGGCAAGAAAATAAACAAATAAATAAAAGGCATCCAAACTGCAAAGAAGGAAGTAAAATTACTTCTATTCACAGATGACATGACTATACATATATACTGACTCAACAGTAATAGGTTTGGTTATATATCTATATAAATACACCATAAACTCCTTAAAGAATAGAAACCAATATTCAGAATATTTTAGGATTATGAGTTGGTGGATTTGAACTGCTGACCTTTTAGTTAGCAGCCAAACGCATAACCACTATGCCACCAGGGCTGCATATATATATTCTTCTTTTTTCAAGATTGTTTGCCTATTTGGGGCTAAAACAATGTGAATTTGAGATCAGGTTCTCCATTTCTGCCAAAAAGACTGTTAGAATTTTGATAGGATTGTGTTCAGTCTGTAGGTTGCTTAGGGTAGTATTTACATCTAAACAATGTCAAATCTTCCAATCCATGAACATGGGATGTCTTTCCATTTATTCAGCACCCCTTTAATTTCTTTCAGCATTGTTTTATAGTTTTCAGGGTACAAGTCTTTCCTTGGTTAAATCTATTCCTAAGTATTTTACTCTTTTAGATGCTATTATAAATGGAATTGTTTTCCTAATTTCCTTTTCAGATTCTTCATTGCTGGTGTATAGAAACACAACTGATTTTTATATGTCTATATATATATACATATACATACATATATATATATATATATATATATGTATATCTATACATATAATCCTAAAATACACACACATACATACAAACATTAGAGCTAATAAACAAACTCAGCAAAGTTGCAGGGTACAATATCAACACAATTCCATTTACAATAGTGTCTAAAAGAATAAAATACTTAAAAACAAATTTAACCAAGGAGGTGAAAGACTTGTACCCTGAAAACTAGAAAACAATGCTGTAAGAAATTAAAGGAGTGCTGAATAAATGGAAAGACATCCCATGTTCATGGATTGGAAGATTTGATATTGTTCAGATGTAAATACTATCCTAAGCCATCTACAGATTCAACATAATTCCTATCAAAATTCTAACAGTCTTTTTGGCAGAAATAGAGAATCTGATCTCAAATTCACATTGTTTTAGCCCCAAACAGCCAAAACAATCTTGAAAAAGAACAAAATCAGTGGACTCACACTTCCTGATTTCAAAATGTACTGAGAAGCTACAGTAATCAAAACAGTGAGGTACTTGTATAAGTATAGACATATAAACTAATGGAATAGAATAGAGAGTCCAGAGTTAAATCCACACATCTCTGGTCAACTGATTAATGACAAGGCTGCCAATCCACCAACGGTGCTAGAACAACAGGATTTCCACATGTAGAAGAATGAAGTTAGACCCCTACCTCACACCATATATGAAAATTAACTCAAAATGGACTAATGACTTAAAATATAAACACTAAAACCATGAAATTCTTAAGAGAAAACATAGGGGTAAATCTTCAGTATTTGGCAATGGGTTCTTAGATATGACACCCACAGCCCAAGCAATAAAAAATAGAAAAATTGGACCTCATCAAAATTAAAAACTTATGTGCATCAAAGCTCATCATCAAGAAAGTGAAAAGGCAACCTTCAGAATGGGAGAAAATATTTGTAAATCATGTATCTGGTATGAGTCTAATATCCAGAATATATAAAGAAATCCCACAATAAAAAGACAAACAACCCAAATAAAAATTGGGCACAGAACTTGAATAGATACTACTCCAAAGAAGGATGCTCAACATTAGTTGTTCCAAAAAAACCAAACGTGTTGCCATCAAGTCGATTCCAACTCATAGTGACCCTATAGAACAAGTAGAACTGCCCCATAGGGTTTCCAAGGCTGTAATCTTTACGGAAGCAGACTGCCACATCTTTCTCTTGTGGAGCAGCTGGTGAGTTTGAACCACTGACCTTTCAGTTAGCAGTCGAACACTTAACCACTGAGTCACTAGGGCTCCTTAATAACATTACTTTAAATGCATTAGTAGTTAGGGAAATGCAAATCAAAACCACAATGAAGGAAAAAAAAATGTTGAAATGGTAAATGTTTTGTTACGAATATTTTTACCAAAAGAAAAAAAAAAAGACAATACACATACAATGAGATATCATTTAACACCCACTAGCAGGACTATTATTAAAAAAAAAAAAAAGAAAATAACAAGTGTTGGCAAAGATGTAGAGAAACTGGAACTCTCACATACTGTTGATAGGAATGTAAAATGGTGTAGCCGCTACGGAAAACAGTTTGGCAGTTCCTCAAAAAATTAGAATTATTCTATGATCCAGCAATTATACTCCTGGGTATATACCCAAAAGAATTGAAAGCAGAGACTCAAACAGATACTTGTACACCAGTGTTCACTGCAGCATTATTCACAATCGCCTAAAGGTGGAGACAACCCAGGTGTCCATCAACAGATGAATAAATAAAATATGGTATATACATACAATCCAATGTTAGTCAGACATAAAGAGAAATTAAATTCTGATACATGTTTACAACATTGATGAAACTTGAAAACATGCTAAATGAAATAATTCAGACAAATAAAAGGACAAATATTCTATAAGCCTACTAATATGAAATATAAAGAACAGGCAATTACATAAAGACAGAAAGCAGATCAGTGGTTGCCAGGGGCTGGGGGAGGAGGTAATGGGGAGTTATTGCTTAATGGGTTCTGAGTTTCTGTTTGGGGTAATAAAAGTTTTGGAAATAAATAGTGATGATAGTTGCACAACATTGTAAATATAATTAATACCACTGAACTGTACACTTAAAATGGCAATTTTGTCATATATATTTACCATAATAAAAAAATTAATGCATAGTTTTGATCTTACATTCCATTTCCAGAAATTTTATACATACACTTGCACAAAGACATATTTTAATAATATTTACTGTGGCACTGTTTACAGAGCAAAATATAAGCAACAACTTAAATTGTCCAACAATAAGCATTTGATTAAATGTAGAAGGCTACCAAGAAGACACTCAAGACACCAATAACAGTGCCCTTCTTAGGAGGGAGTCACACTACAACACAACTCTGAGAAGCTTAGCTCAAGGGGAAAGGCCTACCGGAGCGTTTGGAGGCAGGAGAGTGGAGCTAAGCAGTTGGCTGGCCTCATCCCAGTGGGCCTGTAGCATGGCTTGGAGTCGTTCTACCAGCTCCACCCGCTGTTCCTCCAGCTGTTGGTTCCCACTCTGCAGGTCCCGCACTCGTGCTTGCTCCCGCGCCAGTCTGAGGAAAAGCGGGGAGAAGTGACTTGGGGCTTTAAGGAAGCAAGGAGTTGGGGAATAAGAAGAGCCAGAACAGAATGTCAGATATCTGAAATTCTGAAAGGAGCTGGGGCCAACTGGGCAGAGGGCAGAGTCTGCCAAGGGCGCAGCTCTTCACCACTCTCTGCTTTGGCTCCACCCACAGAAAGGGGCTGAGGCCTGAAAGGGAGACTCCAGGGACCAGGACCTGAGCTCATAGTCCTGAGCCACCTGCTGCTGCCGTTCCTCTCGTTCTGCCATTTCCACCTTGTACTGAGTCAACTGAGTGGCCAATTCCTGCTGATGCTGTCCACTTAGCTCCTGCAGCTGCTTCCTAAGAGGAAAGAAAAGAGGACTGAGTCTGGAGATAGAAGTAATCAAGTGAGAAAAAGACAATGTATACATGTGAGAGCAAGCCAGCCAGCCAGTCAGCCAGCCTGGCCATGGCACAGGTGGGTTCAGGGAAGAGGTAAGGACAAAGCTGGTGTCTTGGGATGAGAAACAGAGACCAAAATGAGGATTTATGCAAAGTAATTTTTTAAGAAGCATTTCCAGAAAAAACTGGTAGGGGAGTAGGGATTAGGAGAAGAGACAGAAGGAAGGGAAGGGGCTCAATCCCACAGGGGAGCTTTAGAGACAGTGTAGGTTACACCTCAGCGTTGTTCCCATCAAGGAAAATTTATATTCCTGCCCACCTGAAGACAGCCCTCCCACAGAAAGACTTATGTGATGGCTTACAGGAGAGAGAGTAAAATGGGAACTAGTGTACTTGACAATGGCAAAGGGATGCAAGGGGACACAGGCAGGGCACTTACAGTACCTGCTGAAGCTGGGGAGGAGCAGCATCCAATGAGTCCAAGTACCTGTGATGTTCCCTTAGGGAGGCTGCTTGCCGGAGGCTGTTCTCCTGAGCCTGTGCCAGCCGCTCTGTTACCCGCTGCTCCAGCTGCACAGCCAGCTCTGACTCCATCTGGATCCGCTGGCTTTCATACCGGGCCTGGGAGTGAAGGAAGGTGGTATAATGGTACTCCCTTTTGTTTGGGTTTAGAAAATGGAGGGAACAATGTAGACATAACCCATGTACCATTGTTCCCTCTCATATGTCTAACAGATAAAGAACAAAAATTTTGCCACAAGGAGTGAAAGAGGTTTCCTGTCCTTATTAAACTACAAAGTACTCACGTCTTATATGAACAACAACAACAAAAAATACATGTTTTAACCAAAAGAAATGTTAAGTGTAACAATCAAATCCGTTATATGTGTCTGAGATAACATCATACAGAGTCTCTAGTATAGCACCTGAAACCCAGTAGGCACTCAATAAATGTCAGTGTCCCTTTCTCCTTAAAGGAGCCCTGGTGGAACAATGGTTAAATATTTGGTTAAACTGAAAGGTCAGTGCTTTGAACCCAACAGCTGCTCCGCGGGATAAAAGACCTGGTGATCTGCTCCCATAAAGATTCACAGCCTTGGAAACTCTAGGGGGCAGTTCCACTTGGTCATACAGGGTCACTATGAGTTGGAATCAACTCAACAGCACACAATAACAACAACTTCCTCCTTAAGCAGAATCAGTCTATAATTGCTGTCTCCATTTTCTCACCCCACATTCCCTCTTCAACTCACTGAAATCTAATTTCTACTTATAGTACTCCACTGCAAAGCCTTAATTTCTAAATCTAAGAGTGGTTATTTCTCAGTCTTTATCTTATGTGATCTCGCTATAGCATCTGACACCCTAGATCATCCTTCCTTCTAACAACATTTTTCCCTTGGCTCCCATGACCCCACCATCTCCTGGTTCTCATTCTAACTGCTCCTCAGTCTCGGCTGACTGCTGTTCCAGCTACCCATGAAAGTGGAATGTTTCCTTGAGTTCTGTCCTTAGGCCTCTCTTCTGTCATATGCTAACACTCTTAGTCACTGATGCTTTTACATGTGTATAATAAACTTTGGGCATTTAGGCCATGTTTTTTGCTACCATTTAAACCTTAATATTTCCTCTTTCTCTTTAGCCTACATCTTTCATCTAAGCTTTAAGTTCATATACCCAGTAAGCTACTAACCTAGTAACCTACTCTATTTGGATACACTTCAAATAGAGCATATCTAAATTAAGCTCATTTTGTTTTTTACACTTAAATATAAAAGAAGACAAGGAAGAAGAGGAAATTAAACACTAAATAGGCAAGACAAATAGCACAAAATAAGATAGTAATCCAAATATGAATAAGTAAATGTAAATAAACTTAATGCTTCAATTGAAAGGCAAGTACATAAAGGCTAAAAGTAAAAAAGTTGGAAAAATATTTACCAGGCAAACTCTATTTTTAAAAAAGGCCAGCATAGCTTTATTAGTATCAGGCAAAAATAGACTCTAAGGCAAAAAGTATTATTAGAGATAGCCACCTCATAAGGATAAAACATTCAATTTATCATGAAAGATACAGTAATTAAAAAATTTATATGCATCTAATACAACATAGTCTCAAAATGTATAAAGCAAAAATCGACAGACTAAAAGACAAATCCATACTCAGTGAGATTTCAACAGAAAAAAATCAATAAAGATATGATTAAATAGCATAATTACCAAACTGATGGACACATAGATGAAACTGCATCCAGTAACTATAAAATACATATCTGACCATATATTAAACCATAAAATAAGTCTCAAAAATTTTCAGAGAATTAAAACAATGTAACAGTACCATATTCTCTTATGACGTTTATAAGAAACCTTCCAATGATTCAAAAGAAGAGCGACAACAGACAAATGTGGCAAAAGGTTAACTGGTGAATCTAAGTATATTTATTGTACCAGTCATACAATATTTCTGTAGGTTTAAAAATTTTCAAAACAAAAAAACTGTGTGTAATATACATAAATTTTTAAAGACCATGCTCTCTAATAACAAAGCAGTTAAGCTATAAATCAAAATAAAAGCAGAACTAGAAAAACCCCAAATGTTTGGAAATAACCCAGGAGGTCCAAAAGGTAATCATATCAATAAATGAATATTATTCAGTACCACAGAATAAGGAAAACACTACATAGAAGTTGTACGATGCATGTAAATCAATACTTACAGAGAAAATCAGAAAAGAAGGGCTGAAAATTAATGAGCAAGTATCTATCTTCAGTTTTAAAACAGAGCAACAAAATAAATCCAAAGAAAATATAAGGAATGAAATAAAGTACCAAACCAAAAAACCCACTGCTGTTGAGTCGATTCCGACTCATAGTGACCCTGTAGGACAGAGCTGAACTGCCTCATAGGGGTTCCAAGGCTGTAAATCCTTAGGGGACCAGACTGCCACATCTTTCTCCCATGGAGTGGCTGGTGGGTTTGAACCACTGACCTTTTGATTAGCAGCCAAGCTCTTTAACCACTGCACCACCAGGGCTTCTTAAATAAAGTACAGACATTAATAAAATAGAAAATAAAGATCAAGAAAGCCTAAAGTTAATTCTTTGACAATATATTAAAATTAAACCATAACCAAGATGACTTTAAAATGAGAAATGACACACTTGAACAATATCAGAAATGAAAGAGTAGACATCATTGCAGATGTCACAGACATGAAACAGATAAAATTATGAACAATTTTAAGTCACTAGATTAGAAATTTAGACTCTCTCTCTATATATATATTCATTGAGTCTAAAATTTCTAATTTAGTGACTTAAAGTTGTTCATAATTTTATATATATAAGCCTGGGTGGTGCAAGGAGTTTGTGATCGGCTGCTTAACTAAATTAAAGGTTGGCAATTTGAACCCACTCAGCAGCTCCCTGGAAGAAGGGCCTGGTAAACTGCTTCCAGAAAGGTTACAGTAAGCTTTATGGAGCAGCTCTACTCTGTAAATGGGGTCGCCATGAGTCAGAATCAACTCAATGGCAATGCATTTGGTTTTTTGTTTATATAGTCAAAAATAACTCAAAAAGAAATAGAAAACCTAAATATTCCCATAAACGTCAAAAACGAAAAATCAGTACAGGTGTCGCTTTAATGTCCACGATATGTTCTGTGAAATAGGACGTTATGTGATTTGGATGTTGTGTGAATGCAATATTATACATAGGAGAGAGGTGTGCAGGATGGTCACTGGTCAACCTGGGACCAATGCTGCCGCTGCCACGCCAGAAAACTACATGAAAACTTTGGCTCCACCAAAGCTGGTCCTGCGTGGTTGCCACCCAGTCTGCAAGAGCCACGCCTGGTCCCCACCCACTGTGCTGCACACTCGCCATCCAGCTGGCCACCAGCTCCCTTCCTTTCTTCCTCCCTGCCTGACTTTCCTGTTCTCCTTAACGGGCTTTAAACTCTTCCAGCCCCGCCTGTCCCTCCTCTGCCTCTGCCTCCTACCCTGGCCACCCTCCTGCTCCTCCTCCTGCCGCCACCACAGCCCAGACCCGTTAGGAGGCCAACACTGTGGGAGGAGCCATGGCCTTAGGCCTGGGCATCACATGCAGGGCGCCCGGGCTGAGTGGGTCAGCTGCCTAGGCAAGGCATTCCCCTCAGTGGCTCTAGCAGCATCCATGCGGTCCCTGCCTAGGGGAAGCGCAGTGGGACAGGGAGCCGCAGATGGGCGCTGGAACCCCTCCCCCTGCCACCCTAGAGCTGGGGCAGACGCAGCCCTGGAGAGCTAGTGAGCGACAGATCAGATCTTCATACTTAGAAAAGTATGTTGGCTACATTCCATTCTCCGATGCGGATTTCTGAACTCTATTATAACCTTATGGGACCACAGGCGTATACGTGGTCGGACACTGCCTGAATAGACGTTAAGCGAAGCATACCTGTAGCCAGGTATCTTCCCACATAGAAAATCCATATGAATTCCATGAAATATCCAAGAAGCATATTAATTCCAATCCTTCGAACTATTCCATAGTGTAAGAGGAAGTAAATTTCCATATTTCTAGCAATGGCAAATTAAATGACTCAGATTAGCTCTCCTGCTGAAAACAATGAAATGAATCGAATAAAATAGTTTTAAAAATAAATCTTTCTAAAAAGCATCAAAGTGATAACAAAACAGTAAGGAATCACTAGACCAAAGGGAAAGGAAAATGAGAACCTAGATAGTTTAGCAGGTTAGAAAGCATGGTAGCTAGCCACTTTTGCCCTGAAGACATCTGCCAGCCTACAAAGTTAAAACCTTTGTTTTGATTGCCTTTCAGGGCAAAGAAACAGAAATCTAAGTCTAAGGCCCACATAAGGTGGAAAGTCTAACAGGACACCCTCCATACGATAAATTAGAACCTCCAATGAGTTTCATTCTCAGAGTGAAGGTGAACCAGAAGTAGAACAGCCCACACAAAATTAAAGCTCATTTGAATCATCCGGGAATCTCAATCTTTGAAATTTTAGTTTAAAATGGGCCTGGACCTGTAGTATCCTTCAGGGTCTGGCAGAAGCAAATGCAAATCTTCTCTGGAGCAAAGTATTTTCATGGTAGGCTTCAAATTATTCCCAAAATTTTTCAAATAAAAGGTCTAGCACATAATCAAAAGTAATCAGGACCCAAGGAAACCAGACTCCACGAAAGCCAGCAAAAACAAGAGACAAAAAAGACCCTTAAATAGTTCAGATACTAGAATTATCATTCACAGATAATAAAACAATGCTTATTATGCTTAATGTAATAAAAGATAAGCTTGAAAATATCAGAGAACAAAAAACTATGAAAAAACTAAGATTTGAAAACAAAAACGTAATAGTACTTCTAGAAATAAAAAAATACAATAAAATAAAAAACTCAATGGATGTGTTTAACAGTAGATTAGACAAAGTGGAACAGAGAATTAGTGAAATGGAAGAAATATAAGAAGAAATTATCTAGAGTAGGCATGAAAATACAGAAAGATGGAAAACATAAAATGGAGGATAAGTGACATACATACAAGGAGAAGGTCTAACATATGTTGAATCAGATTCCGGAAAGAGATGACAGAGACAATGGAGCAGAGACAATATGCCA